AAAACACTGGTGGCGTAGCCCTCAGAATCACAGCAACTCAAACCACCACAACACGACAGACAGACGAGTGGTGGCCATTTGGTTTTATGTCTATACTGTCTCTTTAAATTTCGATGTCAATGTGAAATAGCTGGTAGTTTTGAATTGTTGACCTTGAGGTTTGCAGGCTGACTGGTAATCACTATGCTACTAGATATCCTTAACTGATACTTTAAATAATATTCTTCAAGGATTAGTCCTTCTTAATGTGTTCGGAGTATTAGAGATGAAGTCTCATGATCCTGGTTTATAAAGAGCACTCTGGCTTTACTACTTCCAACACAGATTTGTTTGTTTATTATGGTAGTCCATGTTACTTTCAATATTCTTCTCCAAAACCATAATTAAAATGCATCAATTCTTCTCTGGTTTTCCTTATTCATTGTTCAATTTTAACATGCATATAAGGTGATTAAAACAATACCATGGCTTTGGTTAGGAGCATCTCTGTCTTCAACCTGATATCTTTACCTAATGAAGTATGTCATATATACTGAAACATTATAATGAAATGTGCAAAGGTCAGCAGTTAGAAAAACAAAAGGGCAGAACATGCTCAGCATTTCTCAAGCTGAGGGAAGTAAAGAAAAAATACAAACCACACCTTGTGGAACTGAAGGGTTCTATGGGCAAATTATTGAATGATGGAAAAAAGCATCAAAAGAAGATGGAAGGAAAACACTGTCACTGTACCAAAAAACAATCATCAACGTTCAACTATTTCCCATGGAAGAGTATGATAAAGAGCCAATGATCATGAAGGAAGAAGTCTAAGGTGCATTGAAGTCATTGGCAAAGAACAAAGCACCGGGAATAGATGGAATAAACACTGAAATCTTTCAACAAACTTATGCAGCATTTGAGACACTCACTTATCTATGGCAAGAAATTTGGAAGACAATTACTGGCTAATTGACTGGAAAAAAATCTGTATTTGTTCCCATTCAAAAGAAAGGTGACTCAATGGAATGCAGAAACCATAGGACAATATCACTGATCCCATGTGAGTAAAGTTTTACAAAAGGTCATATAGATATGACTGCAACTATACATTGACAGAGAAATTCCAGAGGTTCAAGTTGGTTTCACAAGAGGACTTGGAATGAGGGATATCATTGCTGACATCATATTGATCTTGGCTGAAAGCGGAGAATACCAGAAAGCTGTTTACCTGTGCTGTATTTGCTACACAAAGGCTTGATGTGGTCCTGTAGGATAAGCACTACATTGTGAATCACAAGATCAGTGGTTCAAACCCAGCAGTTGCTTCTCTGAAACCCAGTACAGGATTGGTATCGGTTGGAATCAATTCAATAGCACTTAACAACAACAATAAATGTAGAGAAATCTAACATAAGGGAATATAAAGAGATAAAATGTGATTTCTACCTGTAGATAGGGTCAGTTCATTTGCTCCACAGCATGCACTAATAAAATATAGTATAACTATGTGAACATAAACCAATGTATACCGTTATAAATTAGGAGCCAATTCATTACAAATATACAATTACAAATATAGATTAGGTTCAGATTAATGATAGAAACAATTCCAAATTTTGTGAAACTCTGAAAATATGAGCATTCTCCATCAATCCATACATTAAAGAAATGTCCATTATATTTCCATTCCATGCAGTACAATCAGTTAGGCACTGGAGCAGCAACCCCTGTCAAAAATATCACACAGTGTAGTGAAGAAAAATACAAGACAGACTTTTAGAAATACATTTCAAATTACAACTAATGTGAGCTCTATGAGACAAGGCAATTGGGACTAAGAAAGCATCTAACAAGAGACACAGGACAAGTCTGGAAAACCTGAGGTAAAGATAATTTCATGGACCAATGTAATGGAGCAGTAAAATGTAACATCTGATCAAGAATGGAGAAACAGTTTTACAATAATAAATGAGTATTACATTCAGAAGTCATGAAGCATTTATCACATATGAAAGTATATCTCTCTTTGTAGGACGAATGGATCAATGATTCACTAATAATAAAAAGTCATAAGATTTAAACATACTCAGAAGCCTTCAAAAGAGGCCAGAGATTTTTTAAAGTTCTCAGCTTTGAGGAAAATCCTATGTACAGTTCTGCTGTCCACCCATGGGGTTTTCATGAGTTGGGTTTAATTAGAAAACATCTGCTTTATTGGCTGATTGATTGATTGATTCGTATATTGTCAGCATATTTCTGCCCAATTCAAATGGTGCTACTTGTTTCCCCACTCACTTGATCTAGCAACTGATAGCATTTCTTAGAAGCAATTTAATGAGTACAACCAGAGATTTCATGATAATTATTTCAAAATAGCCAATATTATTTTCAGATTATATAAATAAATTGTTCATATAATCATGGCAGTGATTGAAACATCATTATATATATATGACATTAGCTCTTCTAATTTGAAGGGCTACCCTTCAACAATTTCTTCAGTGCCATCTTCATATCCTTATTTCTCAAACTGTAGATAAGGGGATTCATGGTCGGTGGCACAATAGTATAGAATACTGACACTAGCAAATCCAAGGTTGTTGGATATTTGGGTAAAGGTCGTAAATAGGCAAAAAACCCAGAAAATAGAAAAAGAGTCACAACAGTGAGGTGAGGTAGACATGTGGAGAAAGCTCTAGATCTGCCTTCTCTAGATGGGATTCTCAAAACAGTGGAGAAGATGTGAAAGTAAGAAATGTCAATAAACACAAAACAGCCAAAATCTAATACTAGGCTAAGACCAATGACTACTAATTCTGTAATATTATAATAACAGGCAAGAGAGAGTAGTTGAGGAACATCACAGAAGAACTGATGGACTTCAGGAGACCCGCACACAGGTATGGAGAAAGTAGAAGCTGTGTGCAGAATTGCATTGAGACCTCCACTGGCCCATGAAGAGGCTGCCATCTGCATACAGCCTCCATGGCTCATGATGAGTTCATACCTGAGTGGGTGGCAGATGGCAATGTAACGGTCATAAGACATCACTGTGAGTAAAGATACTTCTGTAGTGGCTAAGAGGAAGAAGAAAAACACCTGTAAAACACAGCCAAGATATGAGATGGTGTTTTGATTAGTCAAAGAGTTTGCAATGGATTTGGGAAGAGTGATGGAAATGAGGCAGAGATCCAGAAAGGACAAATTCTTCAAGAAGAAGTACATAGGGGTGTGGAGTCGATGATCCTTAGTTGTAAGGGTGATTATAAGAACATTCCCTAGTATGGCTACCAGGTAAATTAGTAAAAACAGCACGGCATGTAAGATCTGGATCTTCCGAACATCAGAAAATCCCGTGAGGAAGAACATGGTCACAGAGGTGAAGTTGTTCATTTCTTTGGCTGTTTAATCAATTACTCTAAAAAATTAAAGCGAACAATTCACAATTTAGTCAGTTTACTGTTTTATTTTCTTTACCTTCCTTTTTCTCACTCATATGGGCATGTATCTGAAATCATACCACCAAGTCTTCAGTGAGTTGTTATGTAACACAAATGATCTCACTAATATAATGACTGAACATGGCTATCAGTCAAGTCCAAATAGTTCACATTATAATCTCAATTGCTTAAGGGCCACATTTCACATTTGACTCAAATAGGATTTCACATACTTTATATTGAAATGGGGACCTGGTGTGGCAGTCCTTAAAGCACTATTCCACTAATTTAAAGATGGACAGTTCAACCTCACCAACCATTTGCAGAAGAAACATGTGACAATCTACTTCCCTAAAGAGTTACATATTTAAAAACCCCATAGGGCAGTAATACTGCCCACAGTGACTGTAAATCAGAATCCACGCTTTGCAGCGGGTTTAGGGTTTAGTCTGTGCTCTATATTGAAATACGTAGTGAGATAGAGGCACACATTTTGGACCAGTTAATCCTGAGAACACCTTTCAGCTCATCTATTTGCAAGCTTGTGATCTTGCATACATCTTCTGAGTATTATTTACTCAAGCAACAGGATTGTTGTTCTCATCAGATCATTATTTTAATTCAATTAAAAATTATATTAACAAGTTATGTGTATCATTATTGAACAAGAAAATACTTAGCTAATGCCATTTTCTCTACTCATCCTACTTCTCTCCTTATGCCAGTGTAAGGAAAAACTGTGAAAATTTTGAAATAAGGAAAAAAACAAACAAATCTCTTGTCAAGTGCACTGGATATTCTTTGATTTTTATTAGCTTTGAGATACCTTGCAATTTTGGAAATTGTTTAGACATTTTATTAATGCAAATTCTTTTCCATAGAAATACAAATGAGTTTCCTTTTAGCAGAGTGCAATTGATAACTTCTTTGTAGAGAGATACATTTTGCATCTATTTGTCAAAACATTCAGCCTTGCTTATCTTTCCTTTGATGTGTGAAATACAGACTTTGCTCTGAACCAGTTGAATAGCTTTCGAGTTTTTTCACTCAGTAATGAGTGTCATTTGTCTATTTAATACAGCCTCAGAAACCCTGTACATGGTCACTATGAGTCGGAACCAACTCCACGGCACATAACATGCCAGTCTTATTTTGTGATCTTTAAAAAAAGTTTATCTGCATCATAATACATACAATAGCAGTCACTGATCCTTAGAATGAAATCTTATGAATGAATTTGATATGTCTTAGATAAAAACATTTGGGTAATGTATTAGGGACAGAGGCAGTAGAAAACTACCCTTTATTATCTATCATTTAAGATTATATTTTAATTTATCAAAAGTGTCACTAAATTAGTAATTATTTCAAAGTAGAATTTAAATTATGCAGAAAAAATATTCACTTCCATTTAATATGTCTTAGAAGTGTTTATCTTCTAGGCAGATTCCATGCTACTATTGGTTTCAAGGACCTGGTCATCTAAATCTCCTGCTTTGTTAGCTCAGACAATAAAATCTTTTGATGTCATTTATGAGTTCTTATTCATAGCTGCTTGACCAACTTTCCTTTTCACTTTTCTATTCCATTAGCAAATTTTTTAAAGCTCACTGGTTTACTCCATCATCTCTAAGGCTAAGTGTAGCAAATAGTCCTTATGTTTATTCATCATATGCTCTCTTTCTCTCTTATTTTTGTTTTTTCTCCATACATTTAAAGCACTGTAGTGTACAATGAAAATGCACAGTGATATTTTAATATAATTGTTTAATTTACACGTTCATCAGTGACATTCAGAGGAGGTAACCTAAACAGAATCCCACTATCAGGTCATCCTAAATAGATTAAATTTTTTTCTAGTATTTTTAATTCCTAATCCAGTAATTGTCCACTCATTAAATGCATGGTTGTTTTACTGGAACTATCTTATTGATAAGCCAATAGTGACTTTCATCCTGATTTTGATATAATTGATGCACCCGAGGGTTTGCTATCTCATTTTTCATTTGTCTCTTGCATTTTGAATATTAATTATGCAAATAATAACTCAAAAGTTCAGGAAAAAATTTGATGTTGGTTATTTACTTAATAACAATTAACAACAAAGGTCCTGTGGAGAAATACTGAAAGCATGTACTTACACCTAAATAGGGTTTCTGAGGAATGGCTGGTGGGCTTGAACTGCTTACTTTTCTATTTAGCAATCCAATGCTTATCCTACAGTGCCACAACAGGACTATGGAAATCATTAGATATAATCATAAAATAACTGAAATGCAGTATGAAGCATGGGATGCATTCAAACTTTAAAAAATATGTCTGCTACGATACTGTAGAATAAACACTGGAGTGCTAATCAAAAAGTTGACAGCTCAAATCTACCCGTACTTTTCGGAAAGTCTATCTTAGGTCTCTATGAGTCTGAACCAACTAGATGGCAATTAACAACAACATCTCTTCAGATCCAATTATAACTGGAACAATATTTTGCATAGCTCTTTTCCCCAAAACAAATTTTCCCATGATCAACTATTTATCTATATAACATTTTAATTTTTCACACCATATACTTCTGACTGTCTGAAGAATGTTTGATATTGTTACACTGTAAATCTATATCTTCCACAAATCCAATGATACATTTTGAATAAAACCAGACAACTAACCAGCCAACAAAAGTCAAAAGACTTTTTAAATGAACTCTGATTTTTCAAAATCAAGGTGTCTTTCAAGCACTCATTTCCTGCTTGAACTCACCTCAAGATTTAAAGGAAATGGCTTTATATTTTTATCAAGATTGTCATTCCAGAGCTTCCAGTACCCAATGTCTTTGGATCTGAAAGCATGATAACTGGCTCTACAAAACAGTATCACTTAAGATCTGGTTACAAATGCAGATTTTTCTAGATCTGTAGAATCAGAAATACTAGTGTGGCCCAATGAGATGTAGTTTAAAGTTAGATGAGTAATTTCAATGTTAATTCATTACAGTAACTGAGATAATTAATAAAAAGTAAAACTGATTCTGAGGTGTCCTAGACTTTGAGAACCAGTGCCTTCAGGGTACCTGGCTCATTCCAACTCAGAGTGAACCTGTGTAGAGTTTCCGAACAGCAACTAGTGGGTTTGAACCTCCAGCCCTATGGTTTTTAGTCCAGTGCTGCTCCTATAACAGCACACCATATCTAGCCATTCATAAAATGTCTTTTTCTTCTTCACTGTCAATGTTCATATTATTTTTTCTTTTAAAAGTAGCTCTTCCCTCCAAAAAAATGATTTTTACTATTTTTTTTATTCTATCTTCTAATGACCTTTGATTCAACCAAAAATAGTTCCCATCATCTATCTTCAATTGGAGTCCTGGTAAGGCTCTGTTGGTTAATGCACCAGGGTGCAAAGTTGTTTGAACTGCAAAGTCGGCCATTTAAGCTCCCTAGCTGCTCCTTGGAAGTCCTATACAGGGTCACTATGGGTCAGAACCGACGTGACAGCACTTAACAACAACTTAAAATAAATTCAGTCAAAAAGAAAAAATTAAAAGACAGCTACCTCTCATTTTAATGGCTTTTTTTTTTTTTTTTACAACATATAATTTTCTAAAACAAAATTAATTCTGCCAGTGGCTTTTTTCTTTTTTGTGCCCATCTAGAGACTTTTATTCAGGGTTAGGAAGAGGAAGGTGACCTCTGCCAGAGAGAAAAGGCAGAAGGCCAAAAGAAGAAAGTAAAGAGAAGAGAGAAAGAGGAGAGAGAGTAATTCTGCCAGTGGCTTTTTTCACACTCAATTGTTAATCTTTTCTTTTCTGCTCAAGGCAAGGCTTATTGAATGTAAATTCAAAAGGCAGGTGAGTGGAGGCTCAGAAACTACTTTATGATCTGGTAGCAACTGATTTCAATAAAATATGAAGAGCATGACTCAATTTACTTGCTTAGATTAGATAAGGGCTGATTTTCTATTCTTCTTACTCCTCTTCTAATTGTAAACTTTATTGCAATTAACCTATTTCTAGTTATTTGCTTAAAAAAAATCAGAACAGCCTCCCTATTTCACATATAATTATGTCTTAATACATTATGTTTAAATTTTGTTGAGTTTTATTATTTTAAACAAGACCATGAATTTACATTTTAGTTGCTCTCTGTATAATATATATTGTCCTACCAAATACTGGAGTTCCTGGATGGGGATATGGGATAAGCACTGGACTGCTAACCAACAGGTTGATGGTTCAAACTCAGCAGATGCTCTTTGTTAATCCTATACAGGGTCCCTATGATAATGCCCTGGAATGCAAGGTCAGTTTGAACTGCAAGGTCAGCAGTACACACCCTCCAGATGCTCTATGGAAACCCTGTACAGGGTCTTGCTGTACTTGCACAGCTGAAAGGTGTGTAGCTAGAACACTGTAGGTAGGGTGGCTCAAGTGGTCTAGGATCAGAGGGAGAGCAGAGGTGAGAGGATATGTAATTGGTATGGATCTTAAAAGTGTTAGAATAATAAACGTGGATTTTTCTAGAATGTAACTGCCATTCATATTTAGCAATCTGCCAATCATATTTAGGAAGATTGAAGCAGAGAGACAAGCCAGGATAGTGTCTTGCTAGTACAAGTTACTAAAAGATGTCATGGGGCAAATGGTCATGATAAGATTGAAAGGGAAAGGAACAACAAAATAAACAAGAAAAAGATAATGAATGAAAGGCTTCAATTTGTTATTGGTTGAATGCAAGCAAAATGAAACTTAAAATAAAATTGTTGATACAGAGTTGTGGCTATAAATATTTTCACTTTGGCTACAAAATTGGGAGGAAGTAGAATATCCTATTCTGAGATGGCTTAGCTTGCTTGCTCCTTACTCACAGTCATGCATTTTGTCCAAGTTTACCTGTATCCTCTACATCAGCCTTACAGTAAAGCCTTTGGCTTTTTAGAGCCAAAGATGTGAATAAAAGA